GTCCCGAAACTCACTATGTAGACCAGGCTAGCCTTAAACTCACAGAGATCTGCTTGCTTCTGCCTCCTAAGTGCTGGGATTAAAGGTTTACACCACTACACAAGACAGAAATACATTTTTTAAAAAAATGCTCATATTTTTATTTTGTGTGTAAAAGTGTTTTGCCTACATATAGGTCTGTGTACCAGTTATATACATGGTGCCTGTGGAGTCCAGAACAGGGCATGGAACCCCCTGGAACTGGAGTTACACATGGTCGTGAGCCATCATGTGGGTGCTGGGAATTAAACCCCGGTTCTCTGTAAGAGCAGCCAGCACTCTTAATTACTGAGCCATCTCTCCTTTGAGAAGGATGCAGAGAGAGGGCAAGAGAGAGAACCACATCTCCTGAGGGCATCAAAGGGGAGTGAAGTCCTGAAGTCCTCCACGGTTCATTGCAAGGGACTACACAGAAGTGCAGGCTTTGAGACTGTAGCAGAGCCAGAGAGGAGACCAGGGAGCTTGTCCTGCTTTAGCCCTAAGGGACTCTAAGGTCAGCTAGAGCGCCGTGCTCAGGAGTGTCTCAGGAGTGATGGATAACGGCCAAGTCACACCCTTTAGCTTGATGGATGCTCGCCCTCCCTCATCTCAGTCCCTGCCCCGTCTGTTCCAGATACAGTTCTGTTGCTCCTGGCCTCTGGAAACATTTCCTGTCTGTGTTGCTATACACCTTCTGACCACTCGTGTGTTCAATGATCAAATTCCTTCCTCCTCCCCCTGCCGAAAGAAAGACTCTTCAAGGGTTTGCATTTGAGAAGTCCCTTCTTAGATCTCTCCTGGAGCTGGTGGGACTAACACACCTTCACACGCATCGATTGCTGGCATTGCAATTAGCTTCTCCCTCCTTCCCTCCCTCCCTCCCTCTCTCCACTCCCCTCCTTGCTGGGAATGGAGCGGGCTCTGGGCCACCAAGCTAAATCTCCGACCTCTTTCTTTTTGTAATTGTTGAAACATCTCTTTTTTTATAGGCCTTGGACATTTTTTTTAATTGTTTATGATTTAGGACCTTAAAAGTACTAAAGCAGGATAAAAGTCAGCAGTGATTAGCTGGGACCTTGTGGCACGTCTCTCAGTGTTTGAACTTAGTTCCTTCATTTGCACAATAGAGGCAATCCCTGCCTCACAGACTTGTTAGAGGATGAAAGGAGAAGGTTGAGAAACTATCCATCCAGGTTGCTAAATAAACTGATTTTTGCCTGCACCTGCCCTGTGGATTTGTGACTCCTAGATGGAAAGAGGTGTGTGAGTACATTGCTTTTTAAATTAATAAAGTCCAGAATTCCTGGGACTGTGGACCTCCATGCGTGGAGACCAGTATCATCAACATCACCCAGGAAACTGATGGATGTAAACATTCGGGCACCAGGCCAAGAATTTCAGTCAGGCTGCAAAGCATTGAGCTCACAGTGATTGGTGTTCAGTAAGCCTTCTAGGTAATCACTGTTCACTGTGTGTGTGTGTGTGTGTGTGAATGTGTGGTACACATGAGAGGGATGTGTGTTTGCACACTTGTGGAGGCCCGAAGAGTACATTAGATGTCTTCCTCTGCTCCTTGACACTTTTTCATTTTCTTTTTTTAAGGTAATGTCTCACTTTATGGCCCTGGCTGACCTGGAACTTTTGATATGTAAACCTGATGAACTTCAAACTCGGAGATCCGCTATCTCTGCCCCTCCCCCACCAAGAGCTGGGATCAAAGGCATGAGACACCAAGCTCAGCTCATCATTTTGTTTTTCTTTTCTTCCTCCCTTCCTCCCTTCCTTCCTTCCTTTCTTTCTTTTCTTTTTTCTTTTGGTTTTTCGAGACAGGGTTTCTCCGTGTAGCTTTGCGCCTTTCCTGAAACTCGCTTTGGAGACCAGGCTGGCCTCGAACTCACAGAGATCCGACTGGCTCTGCCTCCCGAGTGCTGGGATTAAAGGCGTGCGCCACCACCGCCCCGGCTCTTTCTTTCTTTTAATAAGGAGGAGCCGGGCATGGTAGCATATGCAGAGACAGGTGGATCTCTGAGACTTCAAGGCCAGTCTGGTCTACATAGTGGGTTTCAGGCCAGCCAGGGCTACAAAGTGAAACTCCATCTCAATAAAATAAAATAAGGTAGAGAGCAACTGAGGACGACACCTGCTATTGACCCCTGACCTCCATGTGGACTTAAACACACATGCATGCACACTGGCACACAGACGCATACATATGCAAAAATCCTTGCAGCCACATATACATGAAAAACTGCATGCATACACACACACACACACACACACACACACACACACACAGCCCTTACAATGTTTTCAGTAAATTTACCGTTTTGTGTTGGGATACATTCATAGCTATTTTCACACTGGCTTTTGCACACACCTTTAAACAATGTCCCCTCCTCAGGACTTCTTAGCCTCATCTGAACTTGAGTCATAAGACCCTCTAATACCCTGCCCCCTGCCTGCCTGCTGTACACCCACTACTTCTAGTGAACAGGGCTCTGTTTCAGAAGCTCAAATTCAGAGTCATTACAAAAGGAGGTATCCAGCCACCCTGGGTTTCCTGGGGGTGCTGGGGTAGCAGTGCCAAACCCTGGCAGTGCTGGGCAACCCGACCGAGAGGACTGCCTGCCGGAAAAGTCCCACAGAGCAAGTCTAGAAGGCGGCGATGGAGCATGGTGGGGCCGGGGCCAGGGTGGCTGTGTGACCTGTGCATACGGAAGGGTGGTGCAGCTGCAAAGAGTATGTTTTGAGCGTGACTGCCAGTGTTTTAGCTCTGTATCAGTGGTCACAGTTTCTGTCCCGTGCCATTTTCCTTCCAGTTGATAAGGTTGCCAGTCATATAGTCCCAGTCACTAGAATCACATGGATTCCCTTCTGTGACTGCCCCCACACTTCTCCCAACCAAGCTGTGAATTCTCTGCTGCTACTCTCTGCGGTGGCCAAAGACCTCTGGCAGTCTCTCTCACGCCACCATATCAGCCTACCTACCCTAAGCAGTGTTCTGCTTGGCCTCCCTAACGTCTTGAAGATGATGCCTTGTTATAGTACAGTGCCAACTCCAATTTCCTTCTTGGTCCTCTTGCCTCTCTCCCTAGACATCTGCTTCCTAGTCACCTCCATAGGGCTAGTGCCTGAAGGAGTTGAAACCACGTGCTTTTGTTTTGTGCCAGGGGGCAGGGCGGAGGGGCAAGCAAAATGTCAGGGCTGGAGAAGTGGCACTTTCTGTTCTGGCAGAGGACTTGGGTTCAGCTCCCAGCTGATGTGGGCTCACAACTGACTATAACTCCAATTCCAGTCAGGCGGCAGTGGTGCACGCCTTTAATCCCAGCACTCAGGAGGCAAAGGCAGGTGGATCTTTGTGAGCTCGAGGCCAGCCTGGTCTACAGAGCGAGATCCAGGACAGGCACCAAAACTACACAGAAAAACCCTGTCTCAAAAACAACAACAACAACAAAAAGAACAAAAAAAAAAAAACAAAAACAAAACAAAACAAAAAACCATCCAATTCCAGGGGATCCAACACCCTCTTCCAGCAGTGTGGGCACCAGGCACACACAGTATACATATGTATGTGCAAACAAAACACTCATATACATAAGATGAAAATAAATTAATCTTAAAAAAAAAAGAGTATGTCCAGTATGGTGGCACACCCCCTTAATCCCAGCACTTGGGAGGTAAAGGCTGGTGGATTTCTGGCCAGCCTGGTCTACAAAGTGAGTTCCAGGGCAGCCAGGGCTACACAGAGAAATTCTGTCTTGAAAAACAAAAACAAAAAACAAAACAAAAGCTTGTTTCAGAAGAGGCCCATCTTACCACCTACAAGGGCGGTGTCCTTGGTGGTCCCAGACCAGAAGTCTGTCAGTTGGGCTGGCCTGCTGATTAATTCACCTGAAGCACTTCCTTCTTGTGTGAAGACACCAGGATCACTCCTGCCTTCCAGCCTTATTCACCCTCCCTGGAATGCAGCTGAGGCTCTAGCTGTACGGTGGTCTCCTAAAGACTGGCAGGGTGGGCCTGGAACTCCTCACTGCTCCTGGTCCCTCCCCAGTACCGTTTCAGGAGGGTGATCAATGGCCAGAAGAAAGGCATGTCGGAGATGTCAGCAGTGGGGCCAGGCTAAGATGTCCTTGTGACAGTCACAGCTACTTCCAGCGCCTCTCAGCAGTCAGTTGTGCCCCGCCCCCATACCTCGACAGAGGTCCCAGAGGTAGAAGTGGGGGTGCCCTCTTTCCAGACATTGGTGTCACTGTGTCCCATCATAGAGTTCTTTGTTTATTGGTGTGTGTGTGTGTGTGTGTGTGTGTGTGTGTGTGTGTGTGTGTGTGTGATGTAGCCGAAGCTGACCTAGTACTCTTGATCCTCCTGCCTCCACCTCCCAAGTGCTGGGATCACAGGTGTGCACCCACACTAGGCTTAGTGTGAAGCGCTTAATGCCCGGAAGCGCTTAATGCCCGGAACCTGGTAAAGCTTGATGAAGAGTAGGGAACGGAATGAAACACGTTATCACATAGGGGACAACCTTAGGTTTAGTGGTGAGGTCTCCAAGACTGCAGACAGAGTCCTGGGAACAAAGGTGGCCAGTAGGGGGTAGGGGCCGGAAGCCACCGCTGGAGTCCTGCCCACTTCCTCTTCATGCAGTGTCTCCAGAGGGGAAAGGCAGCGGGCTCTCTGAAGGGTAGCTGATGCCTGCGTCCACATCCTGACCTCAAGATTCTTTTGGAAAATGAGCATAGACAGACACCTACCTTTTGGGGTTGCTACCACGGCTAAAAGAAGCACCACGTTTTAAAGGAGCCGCAAAGCAGCAAAACCAATTTCCCAGTAAGTAGCAGATTGCGTTGGTTTGGGCTGCGAGCATCCCGGATTGAGGCACCTTGCAGCAGAGCGGCGGCTTTATTCTCAACGAGTGAAGAAAAAAAAAAAAAAAAAAAAAAAAAAGCAGGAGTGTGGACTGAGGGACAGAACAGGGCTAAGTGGGTCTCTCCCCTCCACCCGGGAACCCAGACAAGGCCCCTAGCAGAGGTGAGGAGTCCAGGGCCCTGGCACCCAGGGCTGGCAGAAGCCCTGCTTTCAATCGTCCACCTGTATCTCTTCATCTGATAAGTGGGGCTCAGAGTCAGGCCCTGTAGGGCCAGGGTCAGGGCTAGAAGCGCTGTCTGGCAGTGCCAGGTGGCACAGGACTCCCGGAGACAACGCGCATAGGGAGGCCACGTCCGCGCGCATCTCCTCCACATCTCGCTTGAGCTTGGCGCGACGGTTCTGGAACCAAGTGACCACTTGCGCATTGGCCAGGCCCAGCCGCGCGGCCAGTCCATCGCGCTCTGAGGGTGCCAAGTACTTCTGGAAGACGAATCGCCGCTCCAGCTCCAGCACCTGCTGGGCAGTGAACGCTGTCCGCGACTTGCGGCGTCTCCGGACACCAGCGCCAGGACCTGGCGGCGCCTCTGGGGCGCCTCTGCCTGCACGGATGGAACGGAAATGTCAGCCTCCAGTTTTGGAGGAGCTGTGGTCTGGGTGGAAAAGCTAGGATCACAGGGCTCAAGCAGGTGTGGGGGAGAACCAGCACCACGATCCCTATTCACCGGGTCAGGCCAGGGATTCGAAGAGCAGCAGCCTCTGGAAGAGGTGAGATGAGGTTGCTCATGCAGGGGAGTGGGTGAGACTGACCAGAGGAGACCTGGTGCAGGGGTCAAGGCCGGTTGGAGAAGATCCCCCGGCGCCTTTTGGAGCTCCAAGTTGCGCGTGGTAATAAGTTAGAGGCTAGATTGAGGTCGGGTGACCCACCCGGCCTGGTGGCCATATAAAGCCCTCTGCTTATATGTCCTTAAAAACACCAGTTCCCTCTCCGGGAGCCAAACAGGGATACAGTGGGAGCATAGGGAGGGAAGGGAGGTAGAGAGAGGCGGTTTCTGTGCCCAACGCAGCTGCAAGGACCTTCTTGGACAAGGCTCTAGAAATGACCGGCTGGGGCTGGGCTGGGGCTGGGGCTGGGTGGTCGAGAGGTCTCTGGAGCTTTCTGCTTCGTCCTAGCCCTGCCTTACTCGTTTCTTGCCTAAGGCTCAAGCCTTTTGTCTCCTCCGCGGCCTTTCTCGGTCGCGATTGTCCCGCGTACAGCGAACGCACCGGCCCAGCCAGTCCCCTAGATTCTTGCCAGCCTGGCGATACCCCGCGGCGCTGGCGACCCCCTTCGAGCCGCTGCGGCAAGGTACTAAGGCTGGAGACTTGCGGGGACCGAGATGCAACTCCTGACACCTGGGCAGAGGGCAGGACCGGGTAAAAACGACCAGCTAGGGTTGGACAAAACTTTGTGACGGGACGAGAGAGAGAGAGAGAGAGAGAGAGAGAGAGAGAGAGAGAGAGAGAGAGAGAGAGAGAGAGAGAGAGAGACACACACAGAGAGAGACAGAGACAGAGAGAGACAGAGACAGAGAGAGACAGAGAGAGACAGAGAGAGACACACAGAGAGAGACAGAGAGAGACACAGAGAGAGACAGAGAGAGAGACAGAGACAGACAGAGAGACAGAGACAGAGAGACAGAGACAGACAGGCAGACAGAGAGACACAGACAGAGACAGCGACAGAGACACAGAGAGGGAGAGAGAACTAAATTCAAGTCCGCGACTTTGCAGGCGTTGTACCTTCAGAAGGCTGCAGAGCGCGCGGGTCACGGCCCAGGAACGTTTTACTCGTCAGCTCCTCCAGCGCGTACAGTGGCGACGCGGGATCAGGACTGGCCTCGGGAAGCTGTGGCGCAGAAGGTGCTCGGGGAACCATGCTCGGGCCTAGGATGTCTGCGATGCTGAAGGGTGTCCGGCGTTGGCGTCCAGAGTTCATGGCAAGCCGGGTTGTAACAGTCCCGCCTCCCGCTGCTCTTGGCTCCACAACCTCCTCGGCCCCCAGTGCTCAGCTTCCGATCTGGGCCCCCTGCCTCGGATCCGCCCCCTAGAGCTGGGTTGGAGTCCCATGTCCCCTCCTTCTGCACCCCCACCTCCCTCCAAGGGCCGCGGTGAGTCTGGAGCCCGTAGGTGTCCTGGCAACCTTAGTTCTTCTGTATCTTGGAGAGAAGCCGGTGGCTTCTGGCTTTGAGGTATAGCTCTGTGCACATTCAAACTGGGCTTTCTTTACTGGATTCTGCTGGCTGCTTGGCTCCCCGCATACGCTCTGGCTCATAAACTCCTGGGCAATAAAATTGCTTTCCCTGGCCCCAAGGGCTGGGGATTGCAGAGTACTTAGAAACAGGATTCAAGGCTGATTATGTTAGGATCCTGGGCCTTAGCTAGGAACTCAGTATCCTAACTTGGCCTAATCTTCCCCACCCAACCCCGGGAAACGTCTTAAAGAGAACATGGGGCTGGAAATGGTTGGTACAGTGTGGGGGGTCCGGGATCAAGACTTGGGAGAGCCTGGCCTAGTGGGAGACTGTCATAAAAAGATACCACAAGGAATGGGGCAGTAAGTTAAAGTCCCAGTAAGTTAAAACACACACAAGAAAAGCTTCCAGAGACCTGGACCTGGGCTGGCCCTCCCGGGGTCCCTTGCTCCCAAGGACTGGTCTCCGCAGAGAACCTGCTCTTCTTCTTGGCTTACCAGTGGGTCCGCTAGTCATTTTATTAAGCTCTTATATTTCAGGTGTGGTGTCCCTGTGGGGTCACTCTCCAGGTTAGACAAATTGAAGAGCGGACCTCACAGACCCAGCCAGATCACGAGGCAGGCAGCACTGGCAGCTCGGCCGCCAACTCTGAGGTCTGGTCTGCTCGCTGTCTTTGGTATTCTCTATCCCCTTCTCCCCCACATTTATTCTCACCCGAGTGAGCACTCCATGATCATCTTGAGTTGAAATAAGGCAGCTCTGGGACAACGAAGCTGGGTTAGTGAGGCTGAATGGGCCTGGGTTCTCTTTTTATTATATCTGCCTCAAATAGCTGAAGGCTTCACAGCTTATAGCCATAGAGACTCAGCTCCTCCCAAAGGGCATGCCAATGTTCTTTTTAAGTTGTTTTATTATTATTATTATTATTGAGTTAGGATCTCACTGTGTAGCCTTGGCTGTCCTGGAGCTTACTATATAGACTAGGCTGGTCTCAAACTTCTCTGGGACTAAAGGTGTGTGCCACCACACATGGCTTTTAGTTTTAATTTTAATTAATTTATTTATGATTGAGCTGGGGTTTGTCTCACTATGTAACCCAGGCTCTGCTCAAACTCAGAGCAATCCTCCTGACTCAGTCTTCTGTGAAGTGAGCTACTGTGCTGAGCCAAAACTAGTATTCTGTTTGTTTTGTTTTGTTGACAGTTAAATGAAAAACCAGAACAGTCCCTCCTACCCCTGGACTGTTCCCCATGTCACCTTTCCTGTAGTCCTCTGCAGCTCCTGTATTATTCAGTGTTCACTTGTCTATTCCCTGGGGCAAGTGTAACTTAGAGTTGGGGTGCCCCAAATAGGACTTAGGAGATTCTGGGAACCTGGGCCAAAAGTTCCTTGACAATAGGCCACTTCCCTTGATAGTAGGAGGGGTGTCTTTCCAATAAAGGGTTCCCTCTGATGGTACCCCCAGACTTCAGGCATCCAGATCCTCCTGGAAGCCTGGGGGATGCTCTGGAAGCTCAATGAGCCACTGTAGGGTCAGAGGGCAGAGCCGGGCCACGATGGAAAGCTGAGCTGCTTCAGAACCTTGTTAATTGGTTATTAATGGAGGGGGTAGGGGAGGGCAGTAGAGAGCCTCTGCTGCAGGCCTCAGTCCTCAGCACAATCCTTGTGGTTTCACTTAATCTGCAATTAAAGCAGATCCCAGGAGGCAGGAGGGACTGCCCTACCGCATCCCAGACCCGTCACCCAAAAGACACTGCAACCTCTCCTCACATATCCATTTTGTGACTTTTATGTCCTTTTTACCTCTGCTCTCAATTACTCCTGTGTGTGTGAGGAGTGTGGGGCTCTCCTGAGGGGCTTTGCCTTCCTCTCCGTCCACCTCAACTGCCTACGGCCTCCCACCAGCAGATGGGCTCCAGGAACGGATGGTATGGTCCTCAGACACAAGTTTGGGGGAGAAAGAGAAGCAGAGAGGTTAAAGGGAAGATGTCCCAACGTCAGAGACTAAGGACATCTCAATGCCTAGGGACTAGTGCAGACTATCCTGGGGCCACTGAGGGGGGCTTCTCCTGGCTAAGCATCTGGAACATGAGCTAGGGAGAAACCAGATCCACAGAGGGGGCCGGAGGAGGATGAGTGATTAATGAGGGCTAGTAAGAGATTAAACCTGAGTTCTGGGCTTGAGGGGAGCGCTTAGCCAGAGCTACAGAGTGAGACCCTGTCTCAACAACAGTATTTTTAGAGGCTGGGGATATAGGTCAGTTGGTAGAGGACTTGTCTAGCACACACACACACAAAGGAAAAGGAAAAGAAAGAAAAACCAAGCAAGGTGTGTGGGAGAGGTCCCTCTATCTCTGGGTTGTTTTCTCGGGGGGGGGGGGGGGGGCTAGAGTTAAAACAAGGCCTTTCATATAGCCCAGGGTGGCCTAGAACTCACAGAAATCCTCTTGCCTCAACCTCAGGGCCACTTGCACTCAGCTTGGGGCAATTTTCTTTTTCAGGTTGTGTATCTAAGTGGTAACCAGACCCATTGGGTTCTGGAGTTGAGATCCGCCCGCGCGCGCACACACACATACATACACACACACACACACACACACACACACACACACACACACACACACCTCCCGGAGAAGGATCATTGTGATATTCCAATATGAGATGCGAATGACCTCGGGGTCAAGGTGGGAAAAGGGAGTCTGCAGCCGCGCGGCCTCGGCAGCTACTGGAGATGCACTTCGCTGACAGGATGAAGGTTGCCACAACCGCCGAGCATCAACCAGACCATCGTTCCAGCCAGACTCAAATCTTAGCACCTTCAGCTGTCCTGAGCCTCAAAGCAAAGGCCGCATCTCCAGGCGTGGGTACTCAGGACTCCTGAGCTATGACCCCCTAGTCTTCAGGCTGGACTTAATTAAAACAAAACAAAACAAAAACATTGATTTAGCACGCGGGGGCGGGTGGGGGAGGGGCACGAGATTTCACGGATACAAGCTGCTCTCTGACGTTTTAAATTTTATTTAAAAAAATTATGCTGCCGGGCGGTGGTGGCGCATGCCTTTAATCCCAGCACTCGGGAGGCAGAGGGAGGCGGATCTCTGTGAGTTCGAGGCCAGCCTGGTCTACAGAGCGAGATTCAGGAAAGGTGCAAAGCTACACAGAGAAACCCTGATTTGAAAAACAGAAAAACAAACAAAAAAAATTATACTTTGTATTTTGATCATATTCAACCCCAATTCCTCTGATTTCTTTTTGTTGCTGAACTGCTGCAAGAGCAAGCACCTTCACAGAATGCTGGTCGAGGAGGGGGGCGCGGGGGTGGGGTGGGAGACAAGACACACCAACTGCAGTCTACCTCCCACAGTGCTAAGCTTAGCAGCCCTCCTCCTTGCTCCTGCCCATCCCTCCATAAGAAACTCACTGGCCGCACAAACCCTTGAGAACACCCAGGGTGTCGCATGCTTGCAGACTTTAGATTCGGAAGGTAGTAGGAGAACACTATCGGGGATATTTAACCCAACACGAGCTGCTGTTGAGGTCATCTTCTGGGAACAGCAGTTCTGCATGGGGGAGGGGTCCCTGGAGGAGGTGAGGCTGTTGTCCACCCCTCCCCACCCAGATCCCTGTCATCTGCCTCAAACACAAAAGCACTTTTTATTGTTGGAGACGACTCACTTTGTACTCCAGACAGGCTAGCACAGAACTCTTGGTAATACTCCTGCCTCAGCTTCCCCAATATTGGAATTTATAAACAAGAGTCACTTGGCCTAGCTCATCTTCTGCAATACTTTTGCCTTGGCCCTACATTCTCCGTGTGTCCCAGGTGACTTGGTAAGGTTTCCAGACAATATAATGAAAGTGGAAAGGTTCCAGATGCAAGCTTAGGCTTTCTTAGCTCATGTGGCTTATATTCATTGCCAGCCTTCCAACCTTAGCTACATACCAAGACCTCCTTGAACTCCAGAAGTCAGCCTTCAAGTCATCACGGTTTGGCTTTACAATCAGGAACCCCCAAAACTTACAGTCTGCTCATTGGGGCTCATCCCAGATTGGACAGCAGCCTGAGGCTTCCTCCAGAATGTCCTGGGTGTGGCTTCGACCTGTTTGTTGTTTTTGTTTTAGAATACAGGGTTTCTTTTAGTAGCCCTAGCTGTACTGTAGACCAGGCTGGGCTCAAACTCAGAGAGGTGCCTGCTTCTGCCTCCTGAGTGCTGGGACTAAAGGGGAACCACCTACGCTGGCTTGGTTTTGCTTTTTTTCTTCCTTTGGGTGGGGGGATACTTTCTGACTCTCCTACATAGCTATCCATAGAACCAGCCAGGACACTGGCTGGGATTATGGCCAGAGCCCAGCATGTACACTGGCCTTTTAGAGACAAGCTATGCCCTGGCCTGACCACACCCCTCTTCCGTGAAGCTCCCCCCGCCCCAAAGCTCCTTTGGTGTCTTGTACCTGGGCTCCCTCTCAACTCCCCTTTCCCATCTCAGCTTCACTGACTCCCCATCCGAGCTGCCTCTGTAGACATCTGTCCTGGGCTCAGATCTGCCCACTAGAAACCATTTGTGGGGGCTTCTTTCTTGTCTCATTTCCCAGGCTACAGAACCAGATGCAATTATTTGGATTTTTCCTTAAATATTACTCTTTCTCCTCTTCAGCCCTGTAGTGGCCATACAACCTCCTCTCTTGACATGATCTGTGACATTTCCACTGAGGCTGGGACCATATACTGCAACCCACGAGGACGGCAAGAGCTGCCATCTAGACAGCCTTCCCTCACCAAAAAGGCCAGGTTTCAGTTCACCGAGGGCAAGTCACTGACGACATTTGGTAGATGGAGGAGACTCTTCCTGCCAGTGAGAGCTGGGAGACTGCTGAGGAACCAGGAAAGAGGCCAAAGCTTGAGTGTGCAGTGAGTGGTTAAGAAGGAAGGGGAAAAAGGCTTTTTAAAAGCTTTTATTTCAAAAAATAAAGACACAGTTAATTTTACATAAATATCTGGGGAGGGGTGGGAAGGGGGTGGAAGCAGGACTGGCCCCTACCTCCTCTTCTCTTTCACACTGTATTGTAAAAGCAAAGGAGACGGCTACGGAGAGAAGGGAAGAGAACGTGAGTGGGCCGCCAGCATCTGCAGGGCCCTCAACCCTGGGCACCTGGCTTACCTTGCCAAACCAGCGGGACAGCCAAAGCTGCTTCATTGTCATGTGATCAGGGAGAACTTCATTGTCAAAAAGGAGCTGTACCTAAGAGGGAGATGGGGCAGGGAAGAGTTCTCGGTAGGACTAGGCAGAGACTTTTCCCTGGACTCTGCCCCTAGTGTGTTTATGTAGCATGTATGCTTGTATGTACATTGTGTGTGTTTATGTCTGAGGAGGCCAGAGAACAACTCTGGGTTTTTTCCTCAGGCTCCATCCACCTTTTTTCTTTTCTGAGACAGATTCTCTCACTGGCCCGGAACTCATCAAGTAGGGCAGGCTAGCCCCAGCCCTGGTGCTGGGACTACAAGCACCACCTCACTAGGTTGGTTTTGTTTTAGGTCTGGGGACTGAACTCTGGTCCTGGTGCTTACAAGGCAAGGACTTTACCCACTAGTCTGTCTCCTGCTTTTTTTTTTTTTTTTTCCCCATTTCTGAAGACAAGGTCTTATTCTGGACCCCAGACTGGCCTGGAATTCACTATATAGCTTGGGCTAACCTTGAACTTGAAGTAATCTTCCTGTCTCAGCTTCCTTCCAGGCAAAAGCCACCAAGCCAGACATGTCCCTCCCCTTTCAACATCTTGTTCTCCAAATAACACAGTGGGTCTACTTACATAAATAACACAATGGGTCTACTTACATGTTGTGGATTTAGCATTAGGCGGTGACACAGAACCCTTCGGAGATGACGAACCTCAGCTCTAACAGAGCACCGGACATATTTGTTCTAGGAGCAGGGAAGGGGGGAAGAGGACAGGTGTGTGAGGAAAGGGTTCCTGGGAGTTTGCTTTCAAAGAGGCCTCCCCACCTCAGCCCCTCTCACCTGAAGGACATTTTTATTCTTGTCTTTGCCAGAACTGGATGGAAACAGAAACAAGTTAGAGGATCCCATTTTTCCTCTCTTCCACCTAGATCCATAGTCCATTTCCATCAAGGGGACAGACACTCCCTCACTGACCGCTTCGCCTTTCCCTACGTCCCTCAGCTGATTCAGGGTCATGAGTAATATCACTTCAGGCAACCTCTGACCTGCCCCTCACCTCAGCCGCTCCAGGCACAGGCTCAGCTGCTCATCATAGCGGTAATAGTGGGCTTTGGAGTGGTCAAAACTGCTGAAAGGGAGGCCAAGGTTGCTCAGGGCTGGCTCTGAGAAAAAGTAGACATCGAGGAGGCTGGTACAGGTTCCAAAGCCCCTTTTCCCCAGAGAGCAAAGCTGGGCAGCAGAAATGCTCTGAAGACTTTACTTGACCGCCCCCCCCCCTCCCCAAATGACCACCAAGGACATACCTTCCCCACTGGGCTGGGAGACTCTGTCCAAGCCTCGGGACTGATAGAATTCCCGAATCCGTTTCTCTTCACCTAGGAAGGGGTGAAGGGCGGCCATATTAATTCTCTTTGTCCTGGCTGTTGACCTCTTTATCTAGATGGTTCCCAACAAAACTGTTGTTCACGGCAAGCTGCCACCCAGCACCGGCGTCAGGAGGCCCCACAAACACGAGGTGGCCACTCACTGTCTTGCAAGCCTGGGACTAGCTTATACACTATGTCCTGCATGACCCGATCCAGCTTGAGGTTGAGCAGCGGCTGCGTCTCGTGGATCTTGATGTTGCACATGGGGCAGTACTTGCTGGTCTGCAGGTACTTCACGATACAACTTTTGCAGACTGGAAGAGGAGAAACGCAGCCGCTCAGGCCCTTTGGGAACCCGACACACAGGGCGAGTGGGACAGACAGCACAAAAGAGGCTTGCGGGCAGCGTGGTGAGGACAGGGCAGGATCCGGGACACTCACAGGTGTGGAGACACTCTGTGATGGTGGTGGCATCCACGAAGTAGCCGGCGCACAGGCAGCAAACGATGTGCTCATTCAGGTCTTTGATCTTCACTCGGACCTCCTCCTGTGGACACACCCTCCTCAGTCACTCCTCACTCGTCTCTCGCAAGCCCTGCCCACGTCCCCTCTGCACTTCCCAGCTCCAGAGCAGTTCCTGTCACTGGACTCGGCCCGAGGAAGTGGGGTGGGGGGAGATGAGCTCCCCCTCCGCCCAGCAGAGGGCTCCGCGCACAGCGGGTGCTCTCTTCTCGAGGACTCGCCCGACCCTCCTTTCCCTAGGGAGACCAAACGCCGTCAATGACACAACGCGCAAGCGTCCCCAGTCCAGCGTTTGGCAACCTTGTCGGAATCGCGCGTGCGTACCACGCACCCCATTGCTGCGCAGGCGCACTGGGCGCCCGTCCCGCCACCGCCCGTCCTCTCGCCCGCTTGGGTTCGCACAGCTAACCGACCCCAGAAGTCAACCCGCCGCCCCTGCACCTCGTTCCGTAGCGGGTCCATCTTGTACACTGACTGGAGCTGGTTCCGAAGCCTCATCGCGATCGCAATCTGGCCCCCCTGAGGAGACGCCATCTTAAAGGCTGATCCCAGCCCGCCACTTCCGGTACCGCCTGCGGGGCGGGACTTGTCTCATAGCAACGAGGGTCTCAAATTGTCCGGATTGGCTAGTCTTCCCCACACCCCGCCCTCACCCCCTCTCTCTCTCTCTCTCCCGGTGTGCTCACCTGAGCCCGCTGGCCCCCCCCCTCCCCGTGGTCATTAGGGAGTGGGGGGCCGTGGAGCAGGGTCCCGGGATTGCACGCCCCCCACGGGCGTCCTTCCGACGGCACGCACCCGACCGCTGGACCAACTTCAGGAGTTTGTGATGGATAGCCTGTGCCTTCCGAGGCCGGGCGATCGCCGCCCGCTGCTGCCCAGGAGAGTGGGCGTCCTGGGACGCGACCTCGCCTGAGACCCCGGGTCCTCGCCGTGCAGTGCGACCCTGCTCGGCTGCGGCGTCCGCGCTGCGGGACTGCGTCCCGGTGGCGGGCCTTCTCTCCGCTCCGCCGCGGGAGTTTCTCCCGGCTTCGCGAAGTCCCGGAGAGGGTGCCTTGGGCGGGGTGGGGAGGGAGAGACCCTCCGGGAACGTGGCAATCTTACCTCCCAACTCTCTCCCTGCTGCCGGGGGTGGGGGGAATAGGCCCTGGATAATGATGATGATTTAATCATCGGCGCCTGCGGAGGCCTGGGATAGACTAATGCAGAGCAGATGCCGAAGGAGGAGGGGACGGCTGACAGCGAAGATACTTGGGCAGCGAGTGCCTGCAGTAGCATAGGCCCAGGCCCGCACCGGGGGCGGACGCAGGGGTCCCCAGGGCTGGTGCACTGTCATCACTGGGCTCTTACCACGAAATTTAAAAAAAAATTTTTTTTTAAAACTCTGAAGCGTTATTAGCACCGAGTACAATTGGAGATTGGAGCCAGAGGGGAGATACCACCTGGACATTGAAAGTGTGATGGAAATGGGAAAGAAAAGTAGTGTGGAGGGGAAAATGATCGAGAAAACAGAAGGTGTGGATTGGGAGTGGTAATAGAAGGAACAGGGCCCTAAAAGGGTTGGAATGATTAGATTGATGGCAACAGGTACTTGACAGAAAGGAGTGTGTGTGTGTGTGTTACCCCATGAATGGAATAAAATGCCCTCTTCAGAATGGAGTACATAACCAGCAAGAAAGTGTTAATGACTTGTCAATCAACTAATTACAGCTATGGTTTACCTCTCTGGGCCAAGCTACGGGCATCACTACCGGGGCACTGCGGGTCTCGACAGATTTCTTCCTGTCCACCATTGCCCCCTCTTCAGTCCCTTCTTCCTACAGCATGGAAGAGTGATTCTGACCATAGCTTAGACAGAACACAATGTTTTTGATGGATGTTCCTTATTTAGATTGTGGTGTTAGTTTAATGCGTATTTACATTTGTGGAGACCAATCAGAGTATACACTTAAAAACTTGCAGTTTATTATAAATTAGATCTCCGGGTGGGCGGCGGCGGCGGTGCACGCCTTTAATCCCAGCATTCGGGAGGCAGAGCCAGGTGGATCTCTGTGAGTTCAAGGCCAGCCTGGTCTACAGAGCGAGATCCAGGACAGGCACCAAAACTACACAGAGAAACCTTGTCTCGGAAACAAAACAAAATGGGCTGGAGAGATGACTCAGCGGTTAGGAGCACTGGCTGTTCTTCCAGAGGGCCCAGGTTCAATTCCCATCTCCCACATGGCAGCTCACAACTGTCTCTAACTCCAGTTCCAGGGGATCTGACACCTTCATACCAACACACATAAAATAAAGTTAAATAAATTATAATAAAATAAAATAAATTAGATTTCAAGAAAACTTAAAAAATAATAAAGGCACAGTCCTGTAATCCCAGCACTTATAAGGTAGAGGCAGGGGAAATCATGAGTTCAGGGTCATCCTAGGCTATATAGCAATTTTGAGGCCAACCTGGGATACTTTTTTTTTTTTTTTTGGTTTTTCGAGACAGGGTTTCTCTGTGTAGCTTGGCGCCTTTTCCTGGAACTCACTTGGTAGTCCAGGCTGGCCTCGAACTCACAGAGATCTGCCTGGCTCTGCCTCCCGAGTGCTGGGATTAAAGTCGTGCGCCACCACCGCCCGGCTTCAACCTGGGATACAACAACAAAAACAAGTGATAAGTAAACCATAAAATTAAAATAATCAGATTGTTGAGCTGAGTGTGATCCTTTAATCCTAGTACTCAAGGCGGATCTATGAGAGTGAGGCCAGCCAGGTCTACAGAGTGAGTTCCAGGATATGGAGGACAACCTAGAGATTCTCTGTCTTGAAAAAAAAAAAAACCAAAAACTAAAATAAAAAATCAGATTCTTTTCTTTCCTTTTTTTTTTTTTTTTTTTTTTTTTTTTTTTTTTTTTTTTTGAGACAGGGTTTCTCTGTGTAGCTTTGCGCCTTTCCTGGAACTCCCTTTGGAGACCAGGCTGGCCTCGAACTCACAGAGATCCTCCTGGCTCTGCCTCCCGAGTGCTGGGATTAAAGGCGTGCGCCAGCCACCACCGCCCGGCTGTTTAAGGTATTTTAGTAGCACTGGGGTTACAGCTCTGTAGTAGAGTGCTTGTCCCAGGTCATCCCTAGGAACACACAGACCTAGACAAACCCAGGGGCTGGGGAGATGGCTCAGTTGCTCTTTCAGAGGACTTGGGCTTGCTTCACGGCACCCACAAAAAGGTTTCCGACAATCTCACTTCAGCTGTAGCTCCCATGCCCTTGTTTGGCCTCCACAGTCATTACACCATGTTTGTGGTACACATATATACACGTGCAAAACACTCATGCACATCATATAAATTTAAAAAACCAAAACAAACAAAAATCTAAACTTGATAGCTTCCCTTTTTAGTCAGAATAAAAGCCTAACGCCTTGCATGGTTTCATGGTTTCTCCAGCCACACTGGGCTCCTCGCTGTCTGTTCCATGAAAATACTAAAATGGGCTCTGCTTCGACACACTGGCCATCCCTGCTTCCTCCTTCCTGTGGGTCTCCATGAAGCTCCTGTGTTTCTCCTGCACAAATAAACTGTTCGCTTGCACAAATAAACCTTTCACTTCTTTGCCTTCTTTTTCTTCTTACCGTGTTTTCGAATTGCTAGCATTTATTTTGTTTTGTTTTGTTTTTTTGAGACAGGGTCTCGCTATGTAGCCCTGGCTGCCTGGAACTTACTAAGATTAAACTGGCTTTAAACTCAACAGAGATCCGTTTGCCTCTCTCTGCCTTTCCAGTCCTGGGATTAGAGGCAAGTGACACTGCACCGGGTTCCGGATCTTTAAATAAATAAATAAATAAATAAATAAATAAATAAATAAATAAATAAAGCAAGCAAGCTTGGGGCTGGCGGGATGGTTCAGTGGTTAAGAGTGCTTACTGCTCTTTCAGAGGACACAGGTTGGGGTTCCTCAGTTTCCAAGTCAGGCTGTTCACAACCATCTGTAACTCCAGTCCCAGAGGATCTGATGTCCTCTTCTGGCCTCCACGGGCTCTTACATGAATGTGGTGCATGTAAACTCACACAGGCAAACACATGTATGCCAATAAATTAAGAAAATAAACCTTTAAAAAATGTAATTTATGCCGGGCGGTGGTGGCGCACGCCTTTAATCCCAGCACTCGGGAGGCAGAGCCAGGTGAATCTCTGTGAGTTTGAGGCCAGCCTGGGCTACCAAGTGAGTTCCAGGAGAGGCGTAAAGCTACACAGAGAAACCCTGTCTCGAAAAACCAAAAAAAAAAAAAAAAAAAAAAAAGTAACTTATTTTGTGTGTGTGCACATGCACACTACAGTGAGCACACATGTATGTGCATAAATGTGTATGTATAGGCCAGAGGACAAACTCCAGTGTCCTTGGTGGGGGTGTCTTTGGTGATAAGGTCAGGCTGGCTGGCTAACAAGCCATGTGGCTCTCTTCTCACTACTTCCCCAGTGCTTTGCCACACCAGGCTTTTCACATGAATGCTGGGAATTCAGCTCAGATCCTCACATTTGTATAGCATTGTCTGAGCTATCTCCTGAGTCCCTCTCTTTTATTTTATTTTATTCTTTCTTTCTTTCTTTTTGAAACACTATTGTTCCAGCTGACCTCTAACTTGTGATCCTCCTGCTTCAACCTCCTAAGGTAGTTAGAATTATAAGCATGCACCCCCCCACATATATACTATTATATCTCTTTATATATTATATAGATATAATATTTGTTTCTAATATTTTTCTAGTTTCTAATCTGACTTTTGTATTAGAATGTTAAGTTCTTCAGAGCTGGGTACCTCTTCCCTCTGCTATTCACATCTTTATCTCCAGATCTGAGCACACAGCTGGTGTTAAAATATTCTGTATGGCGGCTGGAGGGCCAGATCAGCAGTTCAGAGCACTCACTGCTCTAGCAGAGGACATGAGATTGGTTCCCAGCACCCAGGTCAGGCAGGTGCTCACAACTACCTGTAACTCTAGCTTCAGGGGGATCCAACACTCCTGGCCTCTAAGGGCTCTTGCACATATATAGTTCATATATGAACTCAAGAAGGCAAACACACATGGATAGAAAATTTAAAGAAATCTATTTAAAAGATTCTGAATGAACAAATGAAAGAATGTAGGTGATGGCAACAACTTAGATTAAGGGTTTAACAACAGAAAGGAAGAACTGTAGGTGGAAATGAAACACACCTGTAATCCTAGCACCCAGAAGGTGGAAGCAGGAAGATCAGAGTTCAAAGCCAGTGATGGCTACATAGTAAATTCACAGCCTGAGCTACAGAAGACTCTGTCCAAAGGAGGAGGAGGAGGCTGCATGTTAAACTTTAAAGGAAAGCATGGCAGAAGGAGGCAGCTAGGGACTGGCTGAGTGGGCCTGGGTAAGAGGAAGAACAGGAACTGTGAGAAGTGAGCATTTCCTCCGGCCTGTTGGACTTGAGGTGGCTTCAAGAGAGATGGGTGGAGCTGGCCAGAAAGCTAGAACAGAAGCGAGACTGAGCCGAGGCTCAAATGTCAGGTGTCAGTGCTGTCTGGGTGGGTGTGAGACGTGAGGCTACCAGGATGATGAAACCTGAACAGAGACGGGAAAGCCAAAGTCAGACTTTGGAAGCGTGCTCACTCGCTTCAGCCAGCAAAGCCAGTGGAGGACGGCTACAGACAGCCACACTGGCAGTCCACGCTACAGAATTCCAGAGAAACGTAATAAAACAGGGCTGGGGATGTAGCTCAGCAGCAGGGCACTTGCCTGGCATGCATGAGGCCCTGGGTTCAACCCCCAGTGCCCAAAACAAAACAAAAAATAAAAAGCAAAGTAAAGCACAATAGAAGCCAAAGGAAAGGACATCTCAAGGGTTGGTGAGCTGGTCCAGCAGGTGAAGGAGATTGCTTCCAAGCCTGATGACCTGAGTTTGATCCCTGGGACCACAGGGTAGAAGATAACAGAGTCAAGGTAGTCCTCTGACCTCCACATTCATACTGTGGTACATCTACATGCACACACACACACACACACACACACACACACACACACACACACAGAGAGACAGAGACAGAGACAGAGACAGAGGCAGAGACAGAAGGAGCACTAAAAAGAACGAAATGTGGGGTTGGGGATTTAGCTTAGTGGTAGAGTGCTTGCCTAGCACAAGGCCCTGGGTTCGATCCTCAGCTAAAAAAAAAAGAAAAAGAAATATAGTCTTAGTGGGGGGGTTTTTTTTTGGGTTTTTTTTTTTTTTTTTTTTTTAGAAAAGAAAATTCAAGAAATAATTGGTTGCTGGGTGTTCCTCAGAAGGCAGAGGCAGGTGGATTCCTGTGAAGTCCAGGCCAGCCTGGTCTACAGAATGAATTGCAGGCCTGCCAGGGCTACAGAGTGAGACCTGCACCACCCCCACCCCCACCACCCTGGTGTGCAAAAGAATAGACTTGGTGCAGAAAAACCAGTCTCCACTGGGTGAACACAAAAATAGCTGAGGAGCAAGAAATGGGGGAGGCAACGGCCATGGACAGGACAAGGGAAGAGGGAATGAAGATTTCACTCTAAGTCAGGCGAAGACTGTCCGAATGAGAAAGTCCCGAGGTAGCTGGGCGTCGTAGGAGGAGGAAACTGATGGCACACGGGTGACATAAGAGTTAGGGCCGTCCTGAAGGATAGTTAGCGTCAGGGAGAGAGGGAAGGGAAGGCACTGAGGAGGGGCACTCAGCTTCTGCCAGTGAATCAGACACTGAGCGGTAAATGGGTGGCGTGCAAGCCCTAAGCCCAGTGTCTGGGAGGTCAAGGGAAAAGCTGGAGGAGGGAGAATTTAAGACCAGCATGGGCTCCATAGCAAGACACAATCCCAAACATTAAAAAAAAAATGGGGGCAGGGGAGAAAGGAAAAGAAAACACCCGTGGGTGTGTGTTGCAAACGCATATGGTAGGACCCGAGGAAGAGGAAACACTTACCTAGAACCTCCATCTTCAACTTGAACTAGCAGGAACCACTCAAGCAGAGATGGGGGCAAGAAGAGGAACTCCTAGGTGGGCCTGGCAAAACTGGATGGCTTCAGTCCTTACAGCCAGGCCCTAGACAGTGTCCTCGTTGGCTCCCAGATTTGAATGTGCTGGCGATTGTGACCATTCTCCTCAAAAGGTCATCAGTGGGTGAGTGCCACTTGCGCAGACCTCGAAAGGTGAAAGCCAGGTCTTCACCAACTTGCCTGTTTCTCATTCGTTGACTAGTTCTTGGACAAGTTCAAAAGGATTTATTCTGTTTGGTGAGAGACAGTGACTTTCCCTCATGAAGCTCACCCTTCTGGGCACACCTGCAAGCCAGTCCCTCTGCAGAGGACTGCCTTTGTAGGCCAGGTCCCAAGGCTCCCTGCAGTGAAGTATACTCTGCTTTGCCTGGGGCTTCATGGTAAGTGCATCCTCCCTCTGTCGCTTGGAACAGGGAGGGGTCTGTGGAAAGTAAGAGTAGTGATAGTGTTCTCTAGGAACATACATAAAAAGCACCATTGCCAAAATACTCCCCCCTCGCCCCCGCGCGCGCGCTCAGTGACCAGGAAGGTGAAAGGAATCGCTGAAAATAATAGGTGGAAAAGGTAGAAGAGGGCTCTTACGTAGTATTAGTGTCCTGGGCTTCTAACCACTACCCTCCAGTCGCCCATCGCCTCCCCCCAACCCCCGCAGGCTCCCAGGGAGGAGGGCCTACTTTTATCTACTTTTATGTTTTTGTCCAGATGCCCAAATATCCTGATTCCCAGGAGAGAAAAGACCCCTTCACCCTGCCCCAGGCGCCAGGCTGCCTGCCCATCTGCTGGGAGAAAGGAGGGGCGCCTTTCCCAGGGGGATCCTGGCGAAACAACTAGAACAGTAGTCCCAAGGAGGTCTGTCTATACTTGCTAGGCACTTCGCTTCACGCGGGAAAGCCGCAGGGTGGAGCAGAGCCCGGAGGTGGGCAGGGGTGAGGGTCCAGGCTTGGCAGAGCGGGGCGGGGTCTTCTGGCCCGGACGTGTCCAAGGCAAGCAGAGCAGCTCCTCCGTGCCCACCCGCTGCCCCCCTCCCCGGGCCCAGTCTCACCGGCTCGGAGGCGCCAGGGCCCCCCCCAGGGCCGGGGCGGGCTGGGGAAGGTAATGTAATTCCGGCCCAGCTAACCCGATTATGGCGGCCTGCACCAGGCAGGGTGGCGGCGGGGGCGTGTCCTCGGCTCAGGGGCCCGCCCGGCAGGGGTCCCATCCGAGGGAGGGACACGGAGGTCACACACTCTCTGCTCCTGGGTCCTCGCCCAGAGGTCACAAGGTCACCGAGCCTCTTCATCCTTCCCCCACTCTCTTGGCTGGCACGCTCCGGGCGCGTTTTCTGGGGCTTGGGTGGGGTGAAGTGTCTGTAGGATGCGGAGCCGGGAGCCTCCCAAGGCCTCAGCGAGTCCCCAGTGTCGCCCTTTCGCCTTAGAGAAGGGAGCAGAGTGTGTGAGGATAGCTTTCCGAGATGCAAAATAGAGGAGTGGAATCCCGCGGTGGAGGCCCGGGTTGGTCCGTTTGCGACCCGGGTCCGATTTACAGCAATTTCAGAACATCGAAATTCTAAGAAACTGGGCACCAATTCCTGGCCGGTCAGGACCAGGGTGGGGAGTGCTACAGGAAAAGCCAGAGGGTGTGCCACAACCCCAAGCTCAGATGTTCGTTCCCTGCCCGAGCCCACCGAACGCGCCCTGTCACCGTCTGCTTCCCACACCTGGCCTCTTCCTGGGACTCCAGGTCGCGGATCGCCGTCCCCCAGCCGCTTCTTACACAGCCAGGAAGCCACAACGAGATTTGGTCTCAGAGGGCATTTGGGTAGGGGCCACAACGAATCCAGGAGCTGGCCAGCGGCACCCATCGGGAGGCGAAGAGTGGGGGCTGGGGACAGAGCACCTGCCGAGGAAGCCGGGAGGTCGCGGCAGCCCAAAGGCGGAGGCCCGCGAGGATGCTGTTGCCCGAGCATCCCGGCTGAGTCAGCGGCCCCTCCCGCGCACCGCGCCTTCCTGACACCCGCGCCCTCCTCTGCCTGCGCCTGGCACATCCAGCCATCCCTTTCCCTTTAACAGCAGGGCCCCGCCCCTGCCCTCCCTCAGCCCCCGCTGCCCACCCGAGGCCGATCTGTCAGTCACTGCCCCTGCCTGAGCTGGCCACCCCTCTCCACACCAGACTCGGGCAGCGGCCTGGGCAGCCTAGCGTCCACCTGCGCTCCCGGGACCCCCGCCGGTCACGCTCCTCCGGGATGCGAGTCCCTGCGCGGACGCCCGGGAGGGGCGGGCACGCGCGCGGCTGCGCCCGGTGCACAGGGATGCTGCTGTCCCGGGGGCCCCTTCTCCCGGCCGTGGCCAGTCCCGCGGGCCCCTGAAGCCGCAGCCCGGAGCCGTCAGAGACATCCTTCCCAGCCATCCAACCTCCCGGTCCTCTCCGGCTTGGACCCATGGAGCCAGCGGTGTTGGCTCCGCACCACCTTCCGCACCACGAACCCATCAGCTTCGGCATTGATCAGATCCTGAGCGGCCCCGAACCCCCGGGGGGCGGTCTAGGCCAGGGGCAGGCGGGCCAGAGCCACGGGGAGAGTGCGGCGTTCTCGGGTGGATTCCACGGAGCCTCGGGCTACGCTCCAGCCGGCTCATTGGCCCCCTTGCCCAGAGGCTCGGGAGTGGGCCCGGGCGGCGTGATCCGCGTCCCCGCGCACCGCCCGCTGCCGGTGCCGCCGCCCTCGGGTGCGGCCCCCGCGGTGCCCGGACCCTCGGGTTTGGGCGGCGCTGGGGGCCTAGCGGGACTCACCTTTCCCTGGATGGACAGCGGCCGCCGCTTTGCAAAGGACAGGCTCACGGGTGAGATTGCCCAACCCCTGCGCGTCCTTCCCTCGTAGACCCCGTTTCTTCGCCTCTTAGCTTTCTGTTCCAACTCCGTTACTTCTTTCTCCCTCCCCTCTGCTCATCCCCGTGGACCCTCCGCGACCCCACATTTCTCGGTCCCACAGAGGAGAGGCAGTAAGGAGAGAGCTGCTGTCGTCGGGTGCATGCGCCCTTCCTCTGCAGCCCTACCGTGCCCACCGCGAGGAGGGGCAGGGTGAAGTTTGGGAGGGACCCGATTCTTCCTAGGCCCCTTCTTGAAGGAGGCCTCAAGTGGATGCGGGGGCCCGGTAAGGACTGAGGGCTCTCAGTTCTCAGTGTCACCTCGGGCCACTCCCAAACTTTGCCTTGCTCTTCTGCCCCGTAGCTGCGCTCTCGCCCTTCTCTGGGACACGTCGCATAGGCCACCCCTATCAAAACCGGACCCCCCCGAAGCGCAAGAAGCCGCGCACCTCCTTTTCCCGCTCGCAGGTGCTGGAGCTGGAGCGCCGCTTCCTGCGCCAGAAGTACCTGGCCTCGGCAGAGAGGGCGGCGCTGGCCAAGGCCCTGCGCATGACGGACGCGCAGGTCAAGACCTGGTTCCAGAATCGGCGCACCAAGTGGCGGTGAGGCGCGGGGCTCGGGCGGGCCGAGTGGCGGGGAAGGGCCGCGCCGTCCGCTGACCCCGGCTCTCCGCCCGCCCAGGCGCCAGACGGCGGAGGAGCGCGAGGCGGAGCGGCACCGCGCGGGCCGCCTGCTGCTGCACCTGCAGCAGGACGCGCTGCCCCGGCCACTGCGGCCGCCGCTGCCCCCGGACCCGCTCTGCCTGCACAACTCTTCGCTCTTCGCGCTGCAGAATCTGCAGCCCTGGGCCGAGGACAACAAGGTGGCTTCGGTGTCCGGACTCGCCTCGGTGGTGTGAGCGACCCCTACCCGAGGAGCGCCACCGTGGCCGGCTGTGGTGCAGCCAGCGGCGCGTGCGGAGCCGGAAGACCTGCGACTGTCCTCTGACTCCCCTCGGCCACCAGCGGCCCCTGGTCCGCACTCAGACTCTGCCCTTCACGGCATTTTCGGACCCGCTGGAACCTGGGTCTCCAGAGCAACCTGCAGGGTGTAGTGAATGGGAAGGATGCGGCAAGGCACTTGGCGATTCTGCCCAGAGTGACCTCAGAGCTCAGGTCCCACTGGGAAGGGGCCACTGAGCTGGTGTGAAGGAAGATATCAAGGACATGGGGTAACGGAAAAGTGTTGGTTCGCGCGAATGTGGCTGTGACAGGGACCGGCTTGTCCAACTCATCCCCTCAACGGTAAAACAATCGCTAAGGATTCTTTCTTGACTCAGTCTCACGTTGTCATGTGTCTAACCTGCAGGCCACTCCCCCATCTTGAGAGTCACAATGCACCTTTGCTGTAGGTAAGATGGATACTTATATACTCAAAGGATAAAAATCTAGGAAGAGTATCTGGCTCGGATGCCATACACGGTCAGAGAACCGGGAGGAGAAGCCAGTGGACAGTTTATGGGCCCAGTGTTAGAGTGAGCAAGATATGCTTTGGGACTGGCAAACCTAAGAAGAATCAAAGACTACGTCAAGACTGGAGATGTGGAGGCCTGGAAGTCAGCGGTGCTGCGGACCAGGGAGGAGAAACTGGGGGGACCTGTAGCAAGATTAACTGTAGGCAAAACTAATATTAGATCTAGAGAAAAAAAATTCCGGACGCCTGCCTTTGGGGGAGCTGGCTGACAACACGGGTGGAGACAGATGGACCGGTGAGGCCAAGATCTCCAGGGGAGGGAACTCGGGGGAGTTCCACCGCTTAAGCCTTTCTTTCCACCGTATTCCACAGATACATTTACAATGTGCAGGATGGTGGTGGATTCAGAAATTGATAGACTAAGGGTGGAGGGAAGGAGTACCCAGACAGAAAGAAGAAGAAAAACACACACGACACCTTTTAGTTAGAAAGACTTTAAGGAGATGACTTAGCAGATTAAGACACTTGCAGCTAATCCTGACAATCTGAGTTTGAGCCCTAGGACCAATTTGGTGGAAGAAAAGAACCAATTTCTACAAATTGTCCTCTGCCCACTGTACTGTGTTATGGCATGCTCATGCATGCACACGCGTGTGCACACACACATGCACACTAAATATAATGAAAAATCAGAAAGACTTCAGACAGTAGGTGAGTCAGAGGCTGCCGTAGGCTTTTTGATAGTCAGTTGACTTGAAAGATGGTTGCAAAGCTTTCTGGTTTAAAGGGAGTATTTTGTCTCTTTCCAGTGTTCCCTCTTGTTTCTGGCAGAGGCTGGAACACTGTGACAAGGACAGAGACCTGTGGTAGCCAGACCACTCCTGTTCGGTGCTGGTGACAGCTATGGCAGGCGGCACAAAGGCTTGGCCTGAGGTGGGAGGAGGGAGGAGGCTGTGCTTGCGGAAGTCAGCCTCATTCTAAAGTGTCATCTCTAACTCACAGATGTGTGTGGTACCGCAGAACCAAGATCAAACTTGGCATCCTAGGGAAATCTTTTATAGTCCCAAGGAGAGTGCAAGGTTGTCTGGGGCAGCATCTGTGGAGTGAGCAGGATTTGCTCCTTTGCCGGTGGACAAAGGAGAAAGAAAGGTCTGCCTCCTTCTGGACTGCGGCTACCCAGGTTCCCTTCTCTCCCACCCTGTCTTGGCTCTTGGGTTCCAGGAGTGTATTTGACCCTACACTGTGGGTTTCTAAGACTGGCCCACTGCCTTGGTGCCGTGTGGTGAGGCTGGCTCCATTCCTTAGGCAGCAGCTCACTGCAGAACACAGCCATCTCCGTAGTCCTGGGCAGAGGAAGAGTCCGTCTCGGCTGATGGCTCTGCCTCTCCTTCTCTCAGCTGGTTCAGGAAGTCTCTGCTCTCACTGGGGGGCAAGTTACTCAGGAAGTATGGAGGGGCTAGCTCCACCAGCCTGGTGGAGGAAGTCAGAATGAGATCATCCGTGTCTCTCCTCGCCCCTCTCTTCTCATGTTACCACAAACCTTCTTTTTAAGTCCCACTGCCCAGTGTTAGGTTTGGTCCCTGTCCCTGGGGGAGAAAGGGTATTAGGAGTGAGGGTCAGGAAACTCACATCTCAGGTTGGATCTCAGAGACGATGCAAAGGCAGTTGTCTTTGGATATGGAGAAGCTGTGGTATAGCACCCAGGCGGGTGGTTGAGCCGGAGCCCTGCGATTTCGGTAGCTGCAGTATGAAGACAGCTGGGCTACGTGTTTATGGGTGAGAAGCAGGTAGTTTCCAGTGCCATCTGTGTCTCGGGCCACCTCATTGAAACACAAATATATGGAAGGAATAAGTAACAGAGCATATGGGAAAGAAAGAAAGAAAAAAGGAAAGGAGGCCAGTACTGGGTGTGGCAGCACACATCTGTAATCTCAGCATTAGGGAGGCAGAGGCAGAAGGAGCAGGAGTTTGAGGCCAGCCTGAGCTACACAGAAAGTCCAAAGCCAGCCTGTCTGTCTCGTTGTCGTTGCCTTTAAGGAGAGAGAAGAGCTGCATTTTTAATCCCAGCACTTGGGAGGCAGAGGCAGGTGGTTCTCCATGAGTTTGAGGCCAGTCTGTCTGGTCTACAGAGTGAGTTCCAGGATAGCCAGGGCTGTATAGGAAAAACCCTGTCTTGAAAAAAAAAAAAAAACCCAAAACCAAAACAAACAAAAAACCCAACACCCCCTCCCCCAAATAAAGGGGGAAAAAGGAAGAAAAGAGGAGAAAAAAAATAAGAGAGTGTGAACGGATTGAGAGTATTGTAGAGCCTCAAAGTGACTCCTAGCTGTGGTCTGGCCCTCACTTCACCGCATGGCATTTTCCATGGCCCCTTGTCCTCCAAACCCTCAGACTCTTGGTTCTAAGAAATTGTGTGTGTTTGTGTGTGTTTATGGGAGTACATGTGTGTTAATCTTCAGGTGTCAATCTTGGGTGTCAATCCTCAGGTGTCGTCCACGCTTTTGGGGGACAGAACCCAGAAAGTGCCAATGGGCTAGGCTGACTGCTAGACAGCTCCAGGGGCCCAAGTGTCTCAGCCTCCCCAGTGCCAGAACAGCAAGTGAACCCACAGTTCTGGGGGTCAAAGTCTGTCCTTGAGATTGAAGCAAGGTGCTTTGCCTATTCAGCTCTTCTCCTAGACCCCCCTCCCACACCTTTTGATTCCTTTTTCCCTAAAATTTAAAAAATAATAACTTATTTATTTTATTTTATGTGTATGAGTGTTTTGCTTGCAGGTATGTATGCACACCATGTGCCTACCCTTGAAGGTCAGAAAAGTGTCGAATTCTCTGGAATTTGAATTAAGGATGGTTGGAAGCCACATGTGGGTGCTAAGATCTGAACCTGGATCCCCTGGGACCTCTGAGAGCGCAAAGGGCCCTTAACTGCTAAGCCAGCCTTCTAGCTGTACTCGCCCCCCTCCCCACCCCTTCCCACACACCCCTTTTGGAGACAAAATCTCACTATGTATCCCTAGCTGTCCTAGAACTTACTATGTAGACCAGGCTGGCCTCAAACTTACCGAGCTCTACCTGCCTCTGGAGTGCTGGGATTAAAGATGTGCACCACCACCCCAGGCAAAATGCCTTTTCATTCTATCACGCTCAGCCCCCTCCCCAACCTTGAGGAAGAATCCGGACAGCAGTGCTTTTTGAAGGTCTCTGCGATTCTGCTCAGAGCCAAAGGCTGGCTGGGACAGGGGAAGCTCAATCCGTTGCATGAGTTCCACGAGCTCTTCTCGGAGTTTACGGGCTTGGCACAATGCTGCCCAGTTTAGACCCCGAGCCTGACACCAAACCTCATCCGCTCCACCTAGGAGAAGAAAGGAAACAGCTATAATTAAGTCCTTGAGACTGCACAAAGAACGACCCCCAGCCAGAGGGCCGCCTCTTCCTGCACACAGAGGTCTGTTGGCTGATTGGGTATTTCCTGGGAGTCTCTGAGGGTGCAGAGTGAGCCACTCACTTTGTACAAAGGCTTCATAAATCTGGATCAGAGAGCTGTGATCACCATCTGCATGCTCCAGGGCCCGACGCAAGGCAGCTTCTTCTGCACACAGTGGAGGACCGGTAAACCCAGGAGCGGCTGGGGGCAGGGGAGACAGGAAGGTGGTTTGGGAGGAGTCGGGAAGGACAGTGGCACTTAGTAATCCTCTGGGAGCTTAATTTAAAAGACAATAGATTCTGGGTGCTCTGCACTTCCTTACACTTTGCAGACAAATGAAGCCAGCCAGCCCTCTAGGGCCAGGCTCTGCACATGTGGATTCAACCAACTACCCTGACTGCAAGTATTCAGAGAACACTGCATCTATAGAAAGCATGCAGATAATCCTCTGCTGTTATGTCTTAAATAATAATATAGGGTGCCATTGATAGAATATCTACACACAGTACAGGGTACTGTAAGTGATCTGGAGGTTATGCAATATATCGGAGAATATGCACAGGTTATGTTCAAGTACTACAGTATTTTATCCCGAGAGACTGAAGCACCACAGACGGTCCTGGAAGCCATCTCCCATAAATACTGATGGCTGGAAATGAAAGTTTTTGCCCTTAAGGAAATAAGAACCTGGTAGGAGAAAGGCTGGGCTTATGACTCAGTGGGTACTTGCTGTATGAGAATCAAGACTTGAGTCTGAATCCCCACCACCCACATAAAAACAAAACAACAACAAAGAACAGTACTGCTACCTATGCTGGTAACCCCAGGACCTGAGAGGCAGAGACAGGCAGGTACTGGGAGCTTGCTGTCCAGTCAGTCTAGCAGAAAAGATGAGCTCCTTCCTCTGGCCTTTCGTGCAAGCACACCGATGCATGCACCCTCGCCCCCCAAGTCTGGTCGGAGAGTCCAACATGGAAGTGGACAAGTAAGAAAAACAAGTGTGCCTGGCATTCTGGGAGCAAGGAGAAGGTGAGCTGATCCAGGCTCTGGTGGTGGAGCTGAGGGTGAGTGGGAGAAAAGCACGGGCCCCTTGGGTCAGTGTCCGAGGTGTGGGGGGAGAAGGGACAGTGGACCATTTGAGGCTATGGGCACAGCATGGCACAAAGGTTAACATGGGCATGGCTTATTTGGAGCACTAGAAGCCATCTGGTTTGGGTGGGATGGGTGATGTGTAGCAGAATGGCAAGGGAAGCTGTAGTGGTCTGCAGAGTCAGGGTAAGAGACTGGCCAAGTGATGCCAAAGGGTTTGCATAGTCCAGGAGGGAGAAAAACTGCTGAAGAAGAAGAATGGT